ACGGGTGCTGGATCTTGTCAAATGCTTTCTCTGCATCTTTTGATGTGATTATATGGTGTTTATCTTTTCTTTTGTTTATATGATGGATTGTGTTGATTGATTTCCGAGTGTCAAACATCCTTGCATCCCCGGGATGAATCCCAAATTGGTCATAGTGTATGATCTTTTTGATGAGTAGTTGAATTCTATTTGCTAGAATTTTGTGGAGAATCTTCACATCCGTGTTCATCAGGGATATCGGCCTGTAGTTTTCTTTTCTCGTGGTGTCTTTGTTTCCTTTGGGTATTATAGAAATATGGGCTTCATAGAAACTGTTTAGGAGAGTTTCTATTTCCTCAATTTCCTGGAAAAGCTTGAGAAGGATTGGCAGTAGGTCCTCCTTAAATGTTTGGAAAAATTTGCTAGTGAATCCATCTGTACCTGGGCTTTTGTTTTTGGGAAGACTTTTGATTACAGTTTCAATTTCGTTGATGTTAATAGGTCTATTCAGATGATCTAGATCTTCTTGATTCAGCTTTGGGAGATGATAGGAATCCAGGAATTTATACATTTCTTCTAGGTTCTCTTGTTTCGTGACATACAGAATTTCAATGTAGTCTCTGATGATCTTTTGGATTTCTTTGGTTTCTGTTGTAATATCCCCCTTCTCATTTCTGATTCGGTGTATTAGGGTTCTCTCTATTTCTTTGAATGTTGCTAGTGGCTTATCTATCTTGTTTATTTTCTCAAAGAACCAGCTTTTGTTTTCATTGATCTTTCTTATTGTTTCTTTGGTTTTCATGTCATTGATTTCTGCTCTACGTCTTATGATCTCTTCATTCTGCCTTATTTGGGCTCTTTCAGTTGATCCTTTTCTAAGATCTTGAGCTGTGAAGTCAAGTTGTTTATGTGCATCCTTTCTTCCGTCCTGAGAAATGCTTACAGAGCTATAAATTTTCCCCTTAATACGGCTTAAGCTGCATCCCACAAGTTCTGGTAACTCGTGTCTTCATTCTCATTTGTTTCCAGGTACCTTTTGATTTCGTCCTTGACCTCCTTCCTGACCCACTTGTTGTTCAGCATTGATTGTTTAATTTCCAGGTGTCTGATTTGGTTCTCCATGTCTGTGTGTGATTCACTTTTATCCTCAGTGCATCGTGGTCTGAAAAGATGGTTTATACTTTTTCTATCTTCCTGATTCTATTGAGGTATGTTTTGTGTCCCAGCACATGGTATATTTTGGAAAATGTTCCGTGCGCACTGGAGAAGAATGTGTATTCTTTCTTTTTGGGGTGTAAAGCCCTATATAGGTCTATAAGCCCTTTCACTTCTATTTCTTCTTTCAAAGCCAATGATTCCTTTCTGAGTTTTGTTCTTGTTGATCTATCCAGAGGTGATAAGGTATGTTGAAGTCTCCAACTACTATTGTGTTGCTAGCAGTGTCCTCCTTAAAATCTGTTAGCAGTTGTTTTAAATATTTAGCTGTTCCCTCATTAGGTGCATATACATTTAAGGGTGTGTTTTCTTCCTGTTGTATGTATTCCTTGATGAAGAGAAAATAGCCTTCGCTGTCCCTTTAATCTTTTTCAACCTGAAATTAATGCTGTCGGATACTAATATGGCCACCCCAGCTTTTTTGAAGGAGCTGTTTGCTTGCCTGATTGTTTTACATTCTTACACTTTGAGTCTGTGTTTTCTCTGACTGTTGAGATGAGTTTCTTGTAGGTAGCATAATGTTGGGTTCTGTCTCTGAATCCATTTTGCCACTCTGTGTCTCTTAATTGGTGAATTTATACTGTTGACATTGAGAGAGATTACTGTTATGGAGTTTTGTGTCATCTTTTTGTAAGGGTTTGTTGTGGTTGTAAGGTTTGTCTTGTCTTATAGTAGCCCCTTTAGTCCTTGTTTTACGTTTGGTTTTGAGTCTATGAAGTTCCTGAGCTGCTGTTTATCTAGAAAATAGTGTACCATTCCTTCGAGTTTGAATGAGAGTTAAGCCGGATAGAGTATTCTTGGTGAAGTATTCATTTCATTGATTTTTTTCACTATATTCCGCCACTTCCTTCAGGCTTGGAAGATTTCCTCTGATAGGTCTGCTGTGAATCTAAGGGGTGCTCCTTTGTATGTGATTTCCTTCTTTCACCCTGCTGCTTGCAGTATTGTATCTCTATTGGCAGCATCGATCATTCTAACTATGATATGTCTTGTAGTGTTTTTGTTAGGGTCTCTTTATCTGGCACCCTTCAGGCTCCTTGAAACTGAATGGCTGCATTGTGGAGCTCTGGGAATTTTTCAGCAATGATTTGTTTAACCATGGCTTTTTCATTGGGATTCTTTCCCTGAGCTTCTTGTAGTCCAAAGATTCTAGTGTTATTCCTCTTGGAATCATCTCCTAGGACTCTAATTCTCTCTAGAGCTTTTTTGAGGTCCCTTCCATTGTTTGTTGTTGCCTGTTGGCTTGGTGCAGTTGATCTTCCAGCTCACTGATTCTTTTCTCAGCTGTGGTCATTCTACTTTGGAGGACACATACTGAATTTTTTAGTTCATCTACGGAATCTTTAATTCGTGACATTTCTGTGCATAGCTTTCCAATTTCTGCTCTCATTTCTTCCCGTAATTTGTTGATTTTTTCTGTCGTGTTGTTGGATATCTGTCTGACTGTTTCACTGAGTTCATTGAACATCTTTATGACTTCATATCTGTATTCTTTGTCAGAGAGGTTCCTTGCATGAGTTGCACCTACAGAGGCTTCTAGATTCTTTTCATCAACTTCCCTCTGTGGTGGGGATTTACCTTGTTTCTTCATATTGGTGTGTATGTGTGGGGACTAGATCTTTTGGTATGACTAAACTACCTGCCTAAAATTAAGCCACGCCCACTTCTACAGAAGCCACACCCACTTCTTAAGTGTCCACACCTCCACAGGAACTTAGTGTGTGGGGGTGATTAAAGACTGGTTGGGGGAGAAGATCAGCTCAGCTTGGGGGACGAAAAGGAAGCAGCAGAGGCTCAGGGCTGCTTTGTCTCCCAAGGTCCCAGAGGACAACTGGGGGCTTGCAGGCAGAAATCCAAGTCCCGTGTTCGAGAAGCAGCTGATAAACTGATCTGGGTGGGGGAGAAATCAGCTCCTGAAATAACATCTTAAAGACACAGGCATCATTTGATTTTAATGAAAAAAGTGTATTAAAGAAATTTGATTTACAAAGTTAATAGTGTACTTTTTGGTATATAAGAATTCAACACCAATCTCATCTACAGTGCCAACTTCCCTCCAACAGTGTTCCCATATTTCATGCCCAACCCCAACCATCGCCCCATTCTCGCCTGTCATATTAAAAAGTTCCAGTGGTTGCAGACATTGTTAGTATTGGACATAGTTGGTGCCCAACCAGACTGTTAGGATGAGGCTTTGGAGACTGACCCACAAACGGGCAGGAGCACAGACCCCATGAAATGGACAAGCCATGACTCGTGTGTCTGCACTGGTTTGGAAAGGGTTAATATCTCTTCTCTTGGCTGCTTTTTAGCTTTTAGTATTACATAGAGCAATCTTCCTTCTCTCACGGTTCCCTAGCCCAGCTCAGCTTTGGAATGCAGATATTCTCCCACATCCCCCTATCACTCTAGTTGCAAGGGCTGTAGCTCATGTTGCCAGGCTGCTTGGCCTTGGATTCCTCTTTTGAGGCTGCGAGCATTGGACTTGAAAACGTGACAAGAACAATGTAGTTTTTGCTGTCTTGATATCTTCTTGTAACCACTTTTCCCTGTTAATGCTTTCTTTGTACTGTGTGCATGTGAGTACGTAGGATGATGTAAGCATTGACTATAAAACTTGCAGCTTCTCCCTTGCTCCGGGATGTGCTTTGGCCTGCGTGCCTGAGAGCTTGACCCCAGCTAGCTGGCTTAAATAAACTCTGCTTGTGCTTTGCATTACTGGCTGGAATCTTTGTGTGGTTCGAAGGAGGGAGTATCAACTTTGGACCCCAACAGATCAGCACATTATAAGATATAATCACTTCCTTAAAATTAATGAATCTTATCAGGTTTCAGATATTTTGGAATCTGAAGTTCAAATAGTAGCACCCACAAATCTTTAAGAACAACAGTGAGAATTTCACCTGCTGTTGCAGACAGGGACAGAATTCCTGGCAAATCATCAAGCTCAAACCCTCAAGCATCATTGATGGATCAATGCTCCATGCAATGACCATAGAAAAAATGCAATCACAGAAATATTCAAAAACTAAAAGATGAACTAATATAGGATATTAAAGTGTCCATACAATTGGAATTGAAAGGGTTAAAAACTATATAAAGAAGCAAGTCACAGAAACAGAATTTAACATGCAGAGAACTATATCAGTTATATTGGAAACAAAATACTAGCCATCACAAATAATGAAGTAAAAAAAGAAAAGAATAGTAAATGAATAAAACAGAATGTAAGATTCATGATCAATAATATCAAGAGGCATAATCTACCTATCATAGGAATACAACAAGGAGAGTTAGAAGAGAAAGAGGAGGAATGACTGTTGACAGAAATAATAAATTTCCTGGTCTCTAGAGATAAACACCTGCATAGACTCAAAAGACCCATAGAGTACCAAACAAAATAGACTCAAACGAACCAACGCCAAGACACAAAGTAATCAGACTGATAAAAATAAAAGAAAAAGACAGATTACTTTAGGCAGCAAGAGAGAAGAAAATCCTCAAATATGAAGGAAACAACATAAGAATCATAACAGACCTCCCACATATCTTCTTACAAGCCAGGAAAGAATGGGATGATACATTCAAAGCACTGAAAGAAAAAAAATACTTTAGCCTAGAGTTCACTACACTGCAAAGGTATCATTTAAACTTGAGAAAGGGACAAGAACAATTCCAGCCAAACAAGAACAGGAAACATTTGTAACAATTTAATGAATCCTGAAAGAATTACTAAGCGCTGCCTTAAAAAACAAACAAACAAGACACTTGCAAAAACAACATGATTACACACATACACATACAGATGGCAATACAGCACTTTATGTCAATAATCTCTCTCACAGTCAATGGAATAACTTCCCCTAATGAAAGGAGCTTGTATGGAGCAGGAAAGAAAATCCATCCAATTGCTGCTTACATGAAACACATGTAACTCAAAGGATAAATACAGATTTAGAGTGGAAGGATGGAAACAAACATACTAGCCAATCAAAGGCAAAATAAAAAGCTAGGAAAACTATACTTATATCACACCAAATTGTACTCCATATAAATAATGTAATTAGAGACAGTGATGGACACTACTTATTGGTCAAAGGAGCAATAGATAAGATATACTGTCTTCAATAATCATGAACCACCTTATAAATGAAGGCACCACAAATTTCATAAAGATTCTACTCACAAACCTATAGAAACACTAGAAGATAAAGAATTCGACAGACCTCTTTCACTGCTGGACCGATAAGAGAGGTGGAATACCAGGAGAGAGATAAGAGGCCTAAATGAGGTGCTAATATTACTGGGGTTGTTAGTTATATACAGAGCTCTGCATCTCCCCAAACAAGAATACACTGTCTTTTCTGGTGTACTTGGAACGTTCTCCAGGATAGGTCATATATTAGAGCATAAATTAAACATGCATGAATTTACAAACACAGAAAGTGTACAAACTACCTTCTGACATCACAATGCCATGAAAGCAGAAATTAACTACAGAGAGAAGATGAAGAAAATTTCCAAAACTTTGTACCTGACAAAGAACACTACTACCCAAAACTAGGATCAAAGATAAATCAAGGAAGAAATCACTGTATCACTGTATCACTGTCAACCAGCTGTTCATCGATTTGCTCGAGTGGGCGCCAATAATGTCTCCATTCATCCCAGTCCTGAGATTTTAGCAGCCTCTCCTTACTCATCCTTCCCGAAGGCTGCCGTATTGGAGACTCTTTAAGGGTCAGGGGAATGAGGTCCGTTATTGTTACTTTTTTTGGCATAACGAATATGCTACAGGTAGCTTGCCAGGCTCTGCCATGCGGTTAAGAAATAAAAAATATTTCTTGACATTAGTGAGAATGACTACACAGTTATTAGAATCTATGGGACGTGGCAAAAGCTGAATTAAGGGGGAAATTTGAAGCAGTGTAGACTTACATTAAGAAGGAAGAAAATGCCCAAATCAATAATGTAAACACACACACCAAAACTCTTGAGAAGCAACAGTAGAATAAGGAAAACGGTAAAAACCAGGGCAGAAATTAACAATACAGAAATCAAGAAAGCAATGTAAAGAATTCATGGTATCAGTAGTTATTTGAAAGAATAAGCAAGATAAAGGTAAAGGTAAAGGCCCTCCCGTTGATCGTCGATTTGCTCGAGCGGGCCCAGTAACGTCTCCATTGGAGACTTTGTTGTTACTGTGTTTGGCATATCGAATACTCTCGGTAGCTTGCCGGGCTCTCCGAGAGGGGCGGAGGAATCGAACTCGGGTCGGCCATGTTGGCCGCTTGTAAGGCGAACGCCCTACTGCTGTGCTATCGCTCCAGCCCTAAAACTTTAATGAGCCACAAGACGAGAAAAAAATTGTTAGTAAATGAAATAGGATGAAAGGCGTGAAATGAAAATAAATCCTTCAGAAATTTCAAATATAGTATGACATTACTAAAAAAAAATTTATGCTCTTAACCTGGCGCCAAGAAGGAATGGATAGATTCTTAGAATCATGTGATTTCCCAAAGTTGTATGAAAAGGAAGCAGAAAGCTAAAACAAGCCAACGATAAGTAAAGAAATTGAAATAGTCATTAAGAACCTTCCCAAATCGACCCCGGTATGCCACCTTCCTCACGCACAAGCCCCAGGGTCCTCTTGGACCCTTGGCCACCCAACCTTCCCGAGCATCTTCCCATTCGTCCCCAATGCCATGGCCGGTTTTCTCCCTCTCTCAGGTACCCGTAGGGGGCTTGGCCTCTGCAGAAGTGGGCCGCTCAAGACACTCAAAACACTCAAAACACTCCAAAACATATCATAGTTAGAATGATCGATGCCATAGATAGTGACACAATACCGCAAGCAGTGAGGTCAAAGAAGGAAATCACATACAAATGAGCACCCCTTAGATTCACAGCAGACCTATCAGAGGAAACCCTTAAAGCCCGAAGACAGTGGTGGGATATGGTGAAGAAACTCACTGAAATGAACGCTTCACCAAGAATACTCTATCCGGCTAAACTCTCACTCAAACGTGAAGGAACGGTACAATATTTTGTGGATAAACAATAGCTCAGGAACTTCATAGACTCAAAACCAAACCTAAGAGAAGGGCTAAAGGGAAGTATGGTGCCACCAGCAGGTCAGTCTGTACCTGTGAGGCGAGTGCATCAGCAACCTGATGGCACCATCAGGCTTTCAGATACACCCAAATTGCTGTTGTTCCTTTGGCCAGACCCCAAAAACTTGGGGCAAAGTTTACCAAAAAAGTAAATGGTCAAAAGTTAGGTATGTGGGAGACACACACACACAAACCACCTCCGGCTCAGCTATATATTTGGAGGCATGGCCTCTCTGGTTCCTGATCAAACTGCTTAACGGCCATGATCCCAGAGACTCAGAAACAAATCTTGGAACCCAGTGGCTTTTGGCAGAAATGGGTCCTGTTCCTGCAGTAGGTTACTGGCGCTGGGCCACTCCAGGTGGGAATAGGTTTTGTGCCTTGCTTGGCCTGTTCCCCTTGGTGGACCAGTGACTGTCATTCTCCAGAGGCCACTGAACAGTCAAGTTTGGGCCTGCAGTGACAAGACACGCAGGGTCTCACCAGATGGAGGTGGGACCGGCCCTTTCCTCCCCATCCCAGCAAGAACTTGAGTCACCGACTACAAACGACCTCTCTGGCTCCTGATCAAGCTAATTAATGGCCATGATCCCAGAGACTCAGAAACAAATCTCGAAACTCAGCGGCTTTTGGCAGAAATGCATCTGCACAGCATACACGGCCATGGCTCCAGAGGCAAAAGGACTTAATCCAGAGCACGGCAGCTTGCGGCAAAAAAAGTGAATGGACCATTCATTAAACTACGGCACCATGCCTCCCTGGGAGGGAAAGGGTGTTGCTCCCTTCCACCGTATTCTCCCCTGGCAGCAAAGTGGCCACCGCCTCAGAGCTTATTGGAAATCCAGGTATGAGCAGGCAGTGACGGGGCAACTGCAGTCTCATGGGAAGTGGGGCGGTACCAGCTCGCCCTTCATGCCCTACCAAGGTCCTGAGTTGCCCCCCATGAGCGGCTCTCCGGAACAGCCATAACACCAGATGCACAGAAACCAATCTTGTGATTATCTGGCTCTTTGCAGAAATCCAAAATTGCGTGGCTGCAATAGGAGCCGTGCAACATTATATGATTCTCATGACCAGCTATGGAAAACAAAGTATTTCACAATGCCTTTTCAGCGATTCTGATTGTTGGGGGGGGTGGAATTCTAAACAATAATAGTGCATCTTTTGTCGAAATGATGAGTGTAATCAATCTAGAGAAGAGTTAAGTGGAAATCATCTGCCTCACAGGCATTGGGAGGGGTGGGAGGGGGGTATATTGGGGTTCTTGGTGGGGAAAAATGAGTACTGGTGAAGGGAGAGGTGTTTGATCATTGTATGACTGAGACTTAAACCTGAAAGCTTAGTAACTTTTCCCACAATGATTCTATAAATAAATATAAGACGAAAAATAAATAAAACTATGAAAAAAATGTAAGGTGGAGTTCATGCCCAATTCAATCAGCTAATCAGTGGCTGAATAAATAGCAGTACTCCTACATTTTAAAAAAAAGAAGGGCTAAAGGGGCTACTGTAAGACAAGACAAACCCCACAAGCACAACAAACACTCTCAGAAAGATGACACAAAATCCCATAACAATAATCCCTCTCAATGTCAATGGTCTAATTCACCAATTAAGAGACACAGAGTGGCAAAATGGATTCAGAGACAGAACCCAACATTCTTCTGCCTAAAAGAAACACATCTGAACAGTCAGAACAAACACAGCCTCAAAGTCAAAGGATGGAAAGCAATACTGCAAGCAAACATTCCCCTCAAAAAAGCTGGGGTAAAAAAAAAAGCTGGGATAAAAAAAAGCTGGAGTGACCTTTCTAGTTTCAGACAACATAGACTTCAGGTTAAAAAAAGATTAGAAGAGACAGTGAAGGGCATTTTTTATTAATCAATGGATATGTACAGCAGGAAGAAATCACACTCCTAAATGTATATGCACCAAATGAGGGACCAGACAAATACCAAAAACAACTGCTAACAGACCTTAAGAAGGTCATTGCGAGGCTGGAGCAATAGCACGGCGCGTAGGGCGTTTGTCTTGCATGCAGCCGACCCGAGTTCGATTCCCAGCATCCATATAGTCCCCTGAGCACCACCAGGAGTAATTCCTGAGTGTAGAGCCATGAGTAACCCCTGTGCATCTCCAGGTATGACCCCAAAAGAAAGAAAATAGTTTTTTAAAATTTTTTAAAAAAGGACATTGCAAGCAACACAATAGTATTTGGAGACTTCAACACTGCCTTATCACCTCTGGATAGATAAAGAAACTTAAAAATCAGCAAGGCAATAATGGCACTGAAGGATGAAATAGAAGAGAGAGTGCTAATAGATTTATACAGGACTTTATATCCCCCTAAAAAGAATACAAATTCTTTTCCAGTGCACATGGAACATTTTCCAGAATAGACCATGTGCTGGGCCACAAAGCATACATCAACAGAATCGAGAAGATAGACATTGTATTAAATATCTTCTCAGAACACAATGTGCAGAAGACAGAAGTTAATCATGTACAGACGCCTGTACAAATCAAACACCTGTAAATTAAACAACACAATGTTGAACAATAAGTACGTCAGGAAAGAAATCCAGAAAGAAATCAAAAGATACTTGGAAACAAATAATAATAAAGACACAATCTACCAGAACCTGTGGGATGCAGCTAAAGCTGTCTTAAGGGGAAAAATTATAACTCTGCAAGCATTTCTCAGGA